ACATGTCGCATTCGACGCGACAAGAAGATGCGGTCCAAGACCGGATGAAAAGAATTGGTGAGGGGCTTCAGATATACTCCAGCGACAGTTAAGGGACTTTTTGGGGGATGACTGCCGGCAGAAGCGTCCGCATCGAGCAGGATCACGACCCGTTGCGTCGACCTGCGTAGTTCCAGCCCTCGGTGCCGAAGCAGGACGGACATATCGACGTGGCAGCGCATTGCTTCTAAGTTTTTGGGTCTTTTCATTCGAACGGTTCTGCCAGTTCCCTCCTACAGAAGAGTTCCTTCAGAGTTTGGACTGGACTCTGTTCGAATCGATGCGAGGAACAGATGATGGAAAAACTGGAGCTTGGATTACCATGTCTCGGGAACAAGCCAAGACATTTGAGTGTCTCACCATCTCCCACGGCTGGTCTCCGCGCCTGCAAGAGCCCCCGAACATGCTTCGCGAACACCGGCCGACGTTCTCTCTGGAGCTAATCAGGCTTCTCGGGTCGGGACTGGGTAGAACTCTTCGTTCACACATCAGACGATCAAGATGCACTAGCGTGCCTGCTGGCTTTTTCTTCCACGGATGTACGTGCCAGGGCAGCACCGTGGGAGTGGTAATGCCGTACGAGATGCCATCATGCCTGCGACAATCATCGGCTTGTCCTTAGCCCGTCAACACCATAAATAGGTTTCAGCAATAATGACAAGAAAAGACAGGCCTCCCTAACCGTGAATTTGGAAATTCTGCTCAGGGTCAATCAAACAACCATCCCTCACGACGACGGGCAGCCAGCTCGACTGTCATGGACGTGAGAGCTTCAACAAGCAGGTTTTGGGCGCGCGCGATGACCCCCCTCCCCCTCCAACGTCGTACTCGTCCGAGAAGCGTGCATGTGGCTTGCTTGTAGTCCAAGGTCGAGATCCGCTCCCAGGCGTTCAGTGTGGCTGTTGTCAAACCTGCCAGAGCTGCTGCTGGCGTGCGTGTGTACCTTATCGACGGACCGACCTTCTACGTTCAAGTGTGTCGTCTTTCTAACGAGGGGCACACACACACACACACACACACACACACACACACGCATTGGCGACGACGATCCTCATCAACATCGCACACTAGAAGCTTCGAGCCCCCTTCGGACGACACGATTCTAGAATACCGCCGTTTGCCGACTAGCGCGGCGCAACGAAACCGTTTTCCCGCCTTCTCCTACTTCCTTTCCAGCGGCTCGCAAGCTGCATTTGCATTGGGACTAGGCCATCCGCGGGATATCCCTCCTTGTGTGCGCGCAACCCTGGCCGTTGAGTCAGTTAGTCATGTGTGTGTGTGTGTGTGTGTGCCGCCGTCCTCCGAACATGCGTCGATCAAACTGTGGGAAATCGGCCGGCCAGGTCCATTCCATCGCTGGCGCCGATTTGAACACAACCCACCGCAGGTCGCGGGCCCGATAAGGCTCAGCCCGCAGAACCTCAAGAGATTACAGATGCGCAGCCGGCGTCTGTGGTTGGGACGAAGAAGCGGACTTGAACCTGTTCGCAGTGAGCTGACTCGACACCGCGCGCACAACATCGTTCTCCGGCCAAGCTTTTGTCGGAAAAGCCGAGTCACGCACATGTCTTCCAAGCATGCACATAACGATGACGATGTCCAATATAACCTGCAGCGGGACACATGCATACACACACGCACGCACACGGCTTCGAACCAGATGGGTGTGTCTTGATGTCGCTTGTTCAGTCTCAGATCGAGACATGGCATGAAGTCGGCGGATGAGCCCAACGGAGAGCACCCGGGGGAAGGTAGGCGTGGGCACAGGGTCGGCAACTCGGTGACCGAATCCGAACTCTGTCGCATTCGAGAGGCGAGGAACGCGCAGAAGAGAAAGACACATATTAACCCCTTCACCGATACTGTGATTGGGGAGCCTGAAGTTGCATCTACCGCTGCAACGTGCTCTCCACGACGACTGGAAGACCGCGGATGAATTCCCAAAGTCCCCCAAGTTTGAGATCTATGCGTCGTGCAACACCCGGAAACATGGTTGCTTGTTCATTCCAAATCGAAAATGTCGGGAAAGGCTGGGGCCCATGCAAAAAAGCCCAGCGTTGCGCGATCTGTGATCTCGTCGTCCCTCCCTTCCCCCCCGTCCCATCCCCATCCCCCTACCCCACTGATGGGAAGTGTTTCACACTTATTTTCAAACATCCCCCAAGACGAGCATATCCTGGAGCAGCGTGTGTGTGTTGAAGAAAGAAGGGGAGAAGACTCGCTTCTGGATCCAATCCAGGGCCCGGCTGCTCGCCGAGGTTCTGCCCCGAGACTGGGCTCCACGGGACGATCTTGCTCTCTTTCTCCAAGACGTCGTGTCACCGAAGGGGCGGGGTATCGTTGCGTCGTCCTGCCCGCCGCCGATTGATGACTGCAAGTGACCATCTCATCTTTTAGGGAAAAGGGACTTTTTGGAAGATCCGCTCCGTGTCAGAGAGATCAGGTCGTTGGAGCGGCGCGCGCGCCCGCTGCTTTGGATCAGACGACGTTGCTGATCCAACGCAACCAAACCCTTCGTCCCGCACAGACGGATGCTTGTGGACGCGCTCTTGTCGAATCGAACGACTTTAGACTCATGCCTTTTCTGTCAAACTTGTCAACCATTAAAAGAAGGAACCCACAGACATAAACTGCCCGGCCGGCCGGTGGCGACTTGTGTGTTTGTGCGTTTGTTGCAACCCATGTGCAGCCTACCTTACCTATCTCACAAAAGAAGAAAGTAAAAAAGAGGTCATAGCTGCGCCGCAATAACGATTGCCATTTCTACATGGGACGGATACACATTACGGATTTGTTTCAGACGTCTGTGCTTAACTCGTGAAGAAGGAAAGCTGGAATCCCAAGGAGGGGACAAATCCGAGAAAGGGCCCCCGCCCAAAATGTCACCACACCGGTATGCAAGGCGAGCAAGAGAGAGAAGGAGAAAACGATGGGCCGGGCGCGATTTGGGACGGCCCTTTCGGAAAGCTGAGCCTTCTTGTTGTTACTGGGGGGCCTAAGAGGGTGTGACCTTCGATGGATGGAGGGGGGAGGGTATATCAGACGTCCCTCATTACGATTCTTCCCACACCGGCGAGAGCGTTCCTGTTGCAACAATGTCAACTCCCCGCCCTGCCGCATCGCAAGCAACCGTAGGGTCTCCACCGGGTTGACACCGTGACCCGGCTTCGGCCAAATCGCCGTCGGGGCTAAGCCTTCCCAGCAGCAAATCCAAGTTCAGGGTCCGTAAGGTGTGCCGCCTTTTGGGGGGGAGGGGCAAAGAAAGGCACACACACACAGAGGAAGAGAGAGGTCGCCGACTCGCGGCTGGCTTTTCCGACTTTCCCAGTGCCTGTCTGTCGATCAATTATCACGAGGGAAAGAGAGAGAGAGGGGGGGAGAGACGGAGGGTTTCGTTTGGCGGGCGGGCATTTGGGGCAGCGAACGGCCTCTCCCTCTCCACACCGGGAGGAGGGAAGGCGCCGCTTGGGGTGTATCCCCTCTATCTATCTCCATCACTCGTATGACGAATTGTTGGCCGCCGGATCGCATTTCTTGGTTGTGACGCCGCCGGGGCGACTCGCAACTGGGGCTGGCTGGCTGGGCCGGGGAGGGTATTTCGTTTCAAGCCCACACCTGCGCTCCGCTCTCGAAGTCATGTTGGCGGTGGGTGCTTGCTGCGCGTGCTTCGTGCTTTTGGCTGCTGCACCTAGCATGACTCTCTGCTGCTGCTGCTGCTTCTCTCTTGCATGTGGTTCCGGAGAGAGCGCGCGCGGGCGGCGCCCACTCACACACACACACAATCTGTCTGTCTTGCATGCGAGCAATCCGGGTAACGGCGCAAGGACCCTAAACCGACATGTTTAATCGATTTGAATTGTGGGTCTAATCCCTTCTGACCAATCGAATTGCACCGCTTCGCAACGCACAACCTCATATCCCACAACATCGTGGGTTTCATTCAACAACGGCCTCATGGCGCAACGGTAGCGCGTTCGACTCCAGATCCGGTCCTGCGACCGTATCTGATATGATATCGAAAGGTTATCCGTTCAAATCGGGTTGGGGTCATGTAGAAGAGCGTCTGATCGTTCAAATCACTCTTTTTGGTCTCGTCGTTGAGTTTTGCGAAGTTGGTAGTTTGTGGTTTGTGGTGGTGATGTTCGCACATAGTCCGCGCGACGTGTGTGTGGCAGGGGCGGACGCGGGACTCTTTCTGACTTTATGGGAGTGTCTTGCCATTGTTTCCGGTTATGAAAAAAAGACGGAAACAAGAGGAGAGCGCGTGCTGGTTGCTGGAGAGTTGCTCAAAGAGGACGGCTTTCTTGGTGAACATGATGATGCTGATGTTCAGCAGCAAGCGAAGTCTCCCTGTCTTCGAGCCTATACTAACTCTATTCCGCCTGACCGTTTCCCTTTCTGTGAATTGGATCCAATCGTTTCAAATGGCGCTGATGCCCTCTCAATTTCTACTTATGCATCCTTCTCAAGAGATGCCACAACAACATAATTCGTCCTTGATTGTTTACGCATCAAGCAGAACCGCCATGTCCTAACTCATTCATCACAAAGAACGACATGATTTGGCCTACGTCGCACATTGTTTATTGTATGCCTGACCAAAACATTGTTTGATCCGGGGCGGAAAATTTCACCACCAAACCGAGTTGGCATCAACGATTTCAGAGACAGCGAACCCAGGATACCCTCCAGCTCAAGCACTCAGTCACAACTGTCCAGTCCACTAGGTAGATAGCTGAAGCTTCTCTGCAAACTCTCTCTGGCCCAATGGCCTGTGGCAAGTTTTCTGAAGGCATCACATGGCAAAGCTGAAGGACAAGGACAGAGTGAGAGACCAAGACGCTATTCCATTCTGTCTAACACTAGACAAGAGTATACTCGCTACTTATTCATCGCTCTTGCTTCCCTGCTTCCTTGCAGAGACATGCACTTCCCAACAGAAGTCCTGGACAACTTCATCGCTAACGGCGACAGCTCATGACAGTCATGCAAATCCAGGCAGTAGCTACGAGACCAAAGATTACATTCCCAGTGGTCCCAAGGGGCCCAGGTCCAGGTTCTTCGTTGGTCTGAGGGCCCCGACGTCCAGCACCGTCGTCCGTCGTCGTCGTCGTCCGAGGGATCCGACATCCAGCATCGTCGTCCGTTGGCGTCGTCCTCTCCGCTGTCGTCGTCTCCTCCGTCGTCTGTCGGTAGCCCACTTGACTCGAGCGTGGAGATGGCGTCATTGGCTGATATGAGGGCCTTCGTGACGAGCTCTGGGCATCGGGTGGCCCTGCGGGCGCCTCTGATCCTCGCAGACGTTGCTGTTCAACTGGCATGCACGCAGGCGGGGGCGGCAAGACGTCGTGAGGAATGGCACTCGGGGGCAGCTGCCCCTGGTGTGTAGGAGGGAAGATCCCGTTGTTCCGTGCGTTACTTGCGTCCTCCCATCGTCTCATGGTGTTCTCCATGTTGCGAACAGAAGCCCCTATATACGCTACCTCACCGGCCATAGCAGTAACGTTATGCAGCATGATCCTCTCGAAGTTGGTCAGATGCTCTTCTTCTTCTTCGTTTAAGTACCGAAGCCGCATTGAGCTTGAGTCGTGAGCTGGGCCATAATAGAATCCGTCGCGGTCTTCGTCGTCGTAGATTGCGTATTCTGCACTTGACCTAGTACGAGCAGGGGACTCGTCCGGGGACGGATAGCGGTCTCGAGCCCACGTATTCTGCGGTACAGAAGCTAAGCCAACCCATGGAGAGAAAGGCACAGGTTGTTTGACAGTCTCTTGGCCTTGGAAATAAGCTCTTTTCTTGCTCTTGCGGTCGGGAGAGGCTGGGGCATCCCATGGAGAGCAAGGCGCAGGTTGTTTGGCTGTGTTTTGGTCTTTGAGGTAGACTCTTTTCTTGCCTTTGAGGTCGAGCTGGACTCTTTGCTCGTTCTTGAGGTTGGAGTGGACTCTTTTGTGGCCTTTGAGGCCTTTGAGGTAGGGCTGAGAAACGACGGGCTGACCGAAGTGCTCCCGGATGTACTGACGGGTGAACTGGGGGTTTTCGGAGGGATCCTCGTCGGGCACGTCTTGATGAGGTGTGTCTGGACGGGGCGCAGCTGGACGAGGCTTATCTGGGGGAGGCACATCTGGACGAGAAGTGTCCGGACGGGTCTTGTCCTTGCGCATGCCCCTATCGTTGTTGTCATCTTCGTTGTCGTACTTTTTCTTGCTCTTGCGGTCGTCCTCGCACCTGCCGTTGCTCTTGCCATTGCTCTTGCCATTGCTCTTGCCGTTGCTCTTGCCGTTACTCTTGCCCTTGCCGTCCTTGTCTATGCCCACTACCGTCGAGGCCTCACTGGCGTCAGACGAGTCGTCAGAGGAAAGGTAAGTTGTGTTTGCGGGGTCTTTTAGGCTGTTGAGGTCAACAAGCTCCAGGCGAGTGGGCTTAATATGGGCAATGTAGCCTTGGAATTTCTGGTTGTCCTGGCCGCTGCCCGCCGGTAATAGTTCCACGAAGAGGGCATGAGACTGGGTTGCAGACGTGTTTGCAGCTGTGCCTTGAGAAGGGCTATACAAGGTTGCAAATTGAGGCCGAGGCGGCGGTGGAGGCGCAGGGTATGTGGCATACTGTGGGTTTTGCACACCATTTGAAGTACTTTCGGTGGGTGAAGACACGCGAATGCTCCGGGGTATCTGGGGTGTGGGAGAGCCGCCGTTCACTAATGGTCTTGACGAGCGATGGCCTTGTGCCGCAGCCTCTTGATCTTGACTAGGGGGCTGCTGGACGGCATCCTCTCGAGCGGGCGGCTGGGCGACAGTAGAGCTTGAGCGCTCGTCATCGACGGTTGAATGAGGCATCTTGTGGATGTTACGATGTGATGAATGTGATAGTGGGATGTATTTAGAATGTCTTTGTCGTCGAAGAAAACGTGTTCCAATGTTGGTTGGGCTGACGTTGATGTTTAAAAAACGAGGAACGAGGGTCAGGGACAAGGACGGCATATTATAAGGACGACAGAGGACGACAGAGGACGACAACAGCAAGGACAGGAACAACGAGAACAGGAACAGCAGGGGCAGTAGCGACAATATGACGCGGAGAAGGCACGTTTGCTCATCAGATGAATTTCCCGACTCTTTCCACTACACAAGTCTCTTCATCAAACACTGCTCTTGCCTTTTACACCATCTTCTTCCTCCCTCCTGATGTCTTCCTCACCCCTTCCCCTTTCCACCCGACCGCGGTCCCTCCTGACCAAGAACCAGATCGCCCCAGTCAGAAAGAACTGAACAACCATCGTGCCCACGACGCTCCTGAACCCGCGGCGGAAGTACGGCGCCTCGACGGCAGGAAATTGCAGCAGCTGCGCCCAGGCGACAATGGCCTGCCCGATTGCGTTCATCGACGCCGTGACGATTGCTCTCTCCTCCGCGTCACCTGCCATCGTCACCGTCGCCCACGCTATCGTCAGCGAAGGAATCGCGCCCTCGAAGCCGTTCAGCATAAAGGCCGCCAACCGCCCGCCCTCGCCGACATTCCACGCCACCAGCATCACCACGCCAATCAACGACGGCACCGTCGCGGCAATGGACAGCCCTGCATACCAGCCGGTGCGGTCGGCGAGCGCACCCGCGGCGAAGGCGCAGACGATGGAGATGGCCGTCGCGACCGTCGGGAGCGTGTTGATGCGCGTGACGGAGTACGTCTCGGGGAAGGCCTTGAGGTAGAGCGAGAAGGGGGACCCGCTGGGCTGGAGGTTCTCGTTCATGATTGTCCACTGCGCCACGAAGAGGTACCAGTGCCAGCGGGTGAAGACTCTTTTGAAGATGTCGCGCGAGACCTTTAGTTGGGGCGGCGCCGTGAGGCCTTCGAGACGCTTCTGCGCGAGGGCGTACTGGCGTGCGGGCAGCAGCTTCGGCCGCGAGCGGGAGGGCACGTCGGGGAAGACGAAGAAGCCGATCAGGGCGATGGGGATGGTGATGACGGCGTCGACGATGAAGAGCCAGCGCCAGCCGACGAGGCCGTGGACGTGGTGCAGGTTCGTGTAGGCGGCCGCTTGGAGGTAGCCCGCGAACATGGTTCCCAGCGGCGCCGCGATGTAGAACAGGGCGACTCTGCGGCCGATCTCTGAAGATTTGTACCAGCTTCCGATCACGTAGATTATTCCAGTGAATGACGAGCTCTCGAATAGGCCTGTGAAGAAGCGCATAGCGTAGATCGTCTGCACGTTCTGGGCCCACGCAAGACCGAAAGTCGACAGACCCCAGCCGATTTCGAGGACTGGCAGGACGATGTTGATGGGGTAGCGGGTCAGATAGTAGCACGCCGGGATCATGGAGGTGCAGTACGAGGACCAGAAGACAATGGTCATGTAGTTGAGCTCGTTGCCGACGAGGTTGAGGTCCTCTTTCATGCCGCTGTCCTAGTGAGCTTAGGAGACTGTCAGTGGGAGCAGAGCAACATACCTGACGTAGGCATTGGTCAGGGATGACTGGTCAAGATACTTGGTGAAGAAGCAAAGACAGCCAAAGATCAGGATCAACAAATCCAGCCGCAGGACGAGGTTCTTCTCCTCGCTTGGCGTGTCGCGCGAATACCATCGGAGTGCCGTCATGAGGCGAATCCACGGGCCTTCACGAGAGGACTCCCGAGGTTCCTCGATGATATCAGCCGGGCCATCAGCCACGGCTGGCGACTTTTCCGTCAGCGCAACCATTGTAACAGTCGGCGCCTGGGTTGAGCTCAAGGTTACTGTCAGGCTAACCGCAAAACATCATGGGGCATCACATTTATATCAATACCGTGGAAATGAAGAAAAAGTTCATCAGCCATATTGATAACGAAGAACGACCAACTCGCACATCGGCAAAGAAGCTCGTTTCCCCATTCGGCCAACATCCGCAGCGATGGTTGGACGACGCGATGGCGCAATCGCTGCCCACTATGATAGCACATGGCATCTCCATCCGAGTCTCCCAATGAGACATCACCGTTGCGTAGTATCCTGCAAAACCGCGGTGTGGGTCTGTGATAAAAGACCCTGACATTCGGAGGCTGTCCACTTAACCAGTGCTAAGCTTTTCAGGCGCCGGGAACCGGTGGGATGGGTCACGAACTCATTCAACGTAGTGCTTACTTTTGGCCTTGAATTGTTCTGTTGGCTGAGATATATCCTACGAGAAAAGAAAGCGAGTCACAAAGCCGTCCTGACGGGAAACAGTCTCATTAGTAGTACTCATTGCCTCGCTGGAGCCCCTAAATCCAAACTTTTGTATAATTCAGCCTCTCCGGGTCAATCTTTCAGTTACTCCCCCATTCACTCCATTAAGCGCCGTAACCTCATCTCCGCCTCTTATCCTTCACCTTCTTATCCGTCTGCTGCGTCGTGCCGACCAAAAACCCCTTCTTCACTCCCACGGCCGTCCTGCCGCGCGCCAGCATCGCCTTCTTAGTGCCGATGGAGTACTTGTGCGACTTGGGCGCGAGCCTCTGGTCCTCCTGCTTCACCACCCGGAACACGGTCGACCCCACGACCTCGTCCTTGGGGCCGCGGCCCTCGCGGGAAATCTGCGCCTTGGCGGTGTTGAGCTTGCGCGCCTTGCGGGGCTGACCCTCGGCGCCGTCCTCGCCGTCGTCTTCCGAGTCGGACTCGAGGAATTCGGCCGGGAGCTCGGCCGGCAGATCGAGTCTCCGGCGGGTAAGCTTCTTGGGCGCCGCCGCGTCAGCCTGCTCTGCGTCCGCCAAGTCCTCAGCCTCCGCTGCGGCGGTCTCCATCTCCTCGTCCTCGTCGTTTGCCTTCTCCGCGGGCGCGGGCTTCTGGGCCTTGCGGACTGCAGCCTGTTCCTGAAGGCGGGTGTTGCGCTCCTGGCGCTTGCGCTTTTGAGCAGCGGCTTGTCTGCGAGACGGTTAGTTTTTGAAAAGTGGTCAGGTCACTCGTGCAACGTACTCTGCGATGGCCTTGTTGGCAGCTTGAGCGGACTTCTTCGCCTGCACCGCAGCCTTGCTCGTCGAAACAGCCTCGGGGGCCTCGTCCGAGTCTGAATCGTCCGCCGCCTCAGCAGCCGGCGCCTCCTCCTTCTCCTCCGCCTCCTGCTCCTCCTCGTTCACGGGCTCTGGCGACTCCTCCGAGTCATTGATGACCCTGTCCTCCACCTCCGGCGCCGGCTGCTCAGGCCCTGTGATGATGGACGGCTCCTGGATGTCGCCGCTCTTGGACGGGGTCAAGTCCGCTTTCAGCTCCACCACGAGAGACGACTTCTTTTTTGACGACGGCCGGGCGCTCTCATCCTTCTTGGCGGAGCCCTTCTTGGGGGTGGCTCTGGGTGTGGACTTGGGTGTGCCCTTGGGGGTTGCGTCCTTTGAGCGGACGGGCAGCTTCTTTGGTGTGGTGATTTCTCCGGGCGACTCGACTCCCGAGCGCAGCATGTTCCGGGTGGTGACCATTGTGAATGAGAGACCGGCAGGTCGTATGGCTTCCCGCGGGGGGGAGGTGGCAAACCGTGTTTCAATGCGATCGCAGGGCGGGATTATTTATTCCGGCAGTTTTTCGCAGGGCTTCCGTATGAGTGCACAAAGCGAAACGCCTCGGGTCCCTGGCGACGGATGAGTGTGTGAGTTCGATGGTGTTGATGAGTGAGGACCGAAAAGTCTAGGAGGAAGGGTGCAGTCGCAACTTTTTTTCGAGGTGGGGCAAACCATCAAACAGACGATGTGTGATTGGCTGTAAAATTCCGACCCACTTCACTCATCGTGAACCTCAGTCGAGCTTCCTACATCGTAGCTTCATCTGAGCACCACTGCGCCGAGGGCACCCACGACCGCATGAGCTGACTCGGGCGACCAGCTTCTTTGAATCTGTCATTGAGATTCTGAGCGAGGTAGACGATCAAGGCAGTCTCAATGTAGCAGGCTTGCCGCCTCAATTGATCTACACTAGAACCCCGAATTTCATCCTCTCGGCCCGCTCAGATGCTATCGATAGACCATCATTAATCACACACTCATCGCGCCACTTTCACACACTTCATCCTTCACCATGTTTCGCCTCGCGAGAGCTCATGTCTCTCACGCTCGGCCTCTCATGGCCGGCGTTCTCCCCCGGCCATCGCCAGCTCTCAGCCCTCCACCAGCCGTCGCGACGAGCATAAGAACCATTCAACGGGCATCAACCGGACATCGCAAAGCCCGTCCAGACCCTAACCTAAGAGACGAGAGAGCGCCCATAAAGATCCAAACAGTGACAATACCCAAACGCTCCAGCGCTCTCTTCCGCATGCTGTGGAAGACGCTGGAAATCCCCGACGGCGACCCCGAGCAGACATACAAAATATACAGCGCCTACCTGTCGGGTCTCGCCCAACGCAGGGAAAACAAGAATTGGGAGTCCAATTTCCTTGGACGTGAGTCAGCTTTGCTACATGACCCGTTCTGATTCCCCTTCGATATCCAAAACACATTTGCTGACCTGCCTCCGCCACAGAGACAAGGGCAAACGGCGCCGACCTCCACACCCTGGCCCTCTTGATCCTGGACTTTCCCAACATGCGCGAGGAGGAGAAGGACCTCTTCTTCCACGTCCTAAACACGGCTTCCGGCATCGGGTACGACGCCTCGGCCCTGTCCCTCGGCCGGACCCTCATCCACAACAGCGTGCCCACGACCTCCCCGTACTCCTACTGGGCGCCCCAATGGGGCCACATGCGCGATCACGTCGACTACCTCATCAAGCTCGGCCGCGACGCCAACGCCGTCGTCCTAGAGGGCATGCTGGCCCTCAGCCGCAAGACCGAGGAGCACGACAAAAAGGCCCTCGACGCATTCAAGCGCGCGCGCGTGCTCGGCGACGAGATGACGTACT